GGTCTTACGGAAAATTAGGGATGCTTAACGAGGCTTAAAGAATTGGTAGGAAAACTTCCGAGTGTGTCTGTAATCGCATCATCGAGGATGGGCAGCAAAAAGAAGGAGCAGGAGGAGAATGACAAATTGGAGGAATCGATCGAACAGACATATTTCAACTCGAATGCACGAAGAAACCGTTTATTTATGCGGAGAGTTTCTTATTTCTTCTCTTAAATTCTATTATGTATTCCTTTCTTTTGAGGAAACAATTCAAATCGAAAATCCAGATGAGTGTGTATGAGAGAGAGGGAAACGTAGAGTGAGTGAGTCGAACTGTGGAAGTCGGTCTCGGAAATCGTTATGTTGGAGGGTAAATCGGATTGGTATTCGGGCTGGAAGCCATCAAAAGAAGTAGCAGGAAATGCGCCGAAGGCAGTTTCCGAGTTTATTTAATTAACGTTCCTCGTCTCCGAGATTATGCGCTCAAGTGTAAACTTAATTAGTTTTTTTTTCTCCTCCTTCACATATATTTCAACTTTTAAGTTTCTTTTTTTTTTGCTTCTCGCGTATTTTTACGTTTCGATGGGTGTCACGAGCACGGATTTCATTTCGATTCCACCAATAGTTTCGCTCGCATACCGTTTCATGTTTGTCGCGATGAAAACTAATTCAACTTCGTCGCAGATTATTGAAAAAAAAAAGCATTTAGAGACTTCAAGTACGATTCGATTTTTATAAAAACCGGTTACTAAATTCAAGAGGTAGCTTGTTCATAAGATTAAGACTTTAAAGCTGACTAACTCATTCTTAGTCTCGCCAGTAATTGTGGTCAATATAACTTAATCAAGCAGTTTAATTGAAGACGTGGAATGTAGATGCAGAGATGTTGATGTTTCTCTTCAGTTGCAGTTTGTTTCGCGGAATTCGTTTTGTCGACGACGATAAAAGTTGTGAGGGCACTCGCGGCGTCTCTCCTCTCCATTCGAGCACGTCGCCTCTTCTAGAAAAATTGTTCCATTTGAGATTGCACAATGATGCACGCTTTGACGAAGTGAAGAGAAAAAAAAACTAAAATTTTCTTCATCTTCGCGAAGAGTGCGAAACGAGAAGTGGGAATTTATCATTCGCCTTGTGTCTGGGCACGCGATGCCCGCGGGGGATTGCATAATAACTGTTAGTCTCTCTCTCTCTCTCTCTTTGGCGCGTATACACATACTGTTCCTCTCTGCAGTCATCCTAGATCTTCGTCGTGTCGCCACTCCAGCATTATCCTGTTTCCAGGACCCTCCGGAGTCGCTCCTTCGCATTTCAGTCTCGTACTTGCTCTCCCCTATGGACTATGCATTTTTATGTCTTCCTCTCTCCTTAGGACCCTGAATAAAACACGAAGGGAACAGCCTCCAATGTTATCATTGATTTGTAGCATCTCCCCATGAACATCCACTTACGTTAGATAAGAGCGTTCCTCACTTCCTCTAACAACTATATTTTTTACCTCATTTCCAAACTTTGTTGCGTAACTCTTCGAGATCAAGAACGCTCCGCGCCAAAAATCAATACAACAAGCGTTTGTTACTTAGCAACAGTTTGTTAATATTTTGTTAGTGTCATCGCCGTACTGCAAAAACGTAAACAGATTTGGTTCAAAGAGTAAGTTTTTTTTTCCCTTTCTTTCTGAATTTACGGTAATTATTAGTTTGTTTTGCCCAAAGCGGCGGAAAGAGAAGAACATTCCGTCCGGATAAACAGCGCGTACAAATTCGTTGTATATACACTAATTATACACCACTGAGTCATTTCGATCCGATGTAGAAGTAGTGTTTTGCTTTTCGCTCGTCGTCTTGGCATCGTCTGGACTTTTCTATGTCAGATGTGACAGGAAAGTTTCGGTGCGCTCTCCGCTCTTTGGCAAGTGGCCGTCCAATTATGTATACACAAGTACCAGTTTACTAATAAATATATACGTTAAGAAAAGAAAAGAACGAGAAAGAAATGTTAAAGAAAGAGCGAAAGATTATAGATCGAAATGAAAATTCGTCTCTTTTCGCCGACGAGAGCTATTTTCTCTTTTATCAAGTCGTCGCGGTTTTCCGTCGAAGGATGGCGTCTATTTTTACCGTCGCTGACAAGGAAAGTAAACCGCGCGCACTTAAAATAAACGTGTTTAACATTATTATTAACTCGGAGGAAAATAATGAAATAGTTTCGCCGTTTATTTGCTGCGCGATTTAAGTTTTTTTTTTTCTCTCCTTCTCTTCTACTTCTTCGTCTTCATCTCACTCTTTGTGTGTGAGTGTGTGTGCTGTTACCAAATCGTTTGTGCGACCTTCGCGTCTCAATTACACAGCGATAATTGATCGTTTTATTTACGAAAACGCGCAAATTTATTTCTACTTGTGTTGACGTTTTGTACGGATTGATTGTAATCAATCAATATTGCGTTGCTTGTATACAAATTATTGTTTTTTTTTTCCTGTACAAATCTACAAATAACATATTAATTTTATTTCTTGTCATTGTGTAATTGTAGTTATACTCAAATCTTTATTTAAGTTCGAACTCTTTCAAATCTTTTAGGTCATAAACAAAACAAAAAGATACATTTTGTAGACAGTTTATACTGTTGTAGTTGTAGGTTTAGCTCTGATTTCCATCCCTTTCGAATATTTTGTTGTTTTGACTATGGTTAAACCAGTAATCTTCTCGAATATTTTGGCTTACAATTGATGCTTGAATGCTGTTTCTTGTAGATTTATCTCAGATTGTTATTTCACGAATTATTAATACAATTTTTTGTTTAAGATGTTTAAATTCACAATGTAGTAAACTACTTGTTATGTAAATATAAAAAAATCCTTAAATCTTTGTTCACAGAATCCAAGAAAATACTTAATATATAAATACAAAGTGTTTATTTATATAAAGAATGTAAATAATGCCAAACACACTTCTTTCTTGTCTTGGATTTCGAATAACTTCGATATTCTTTTTGCAGGTGAATTAACTATTAATTTCGTTCGAATCAATCAATTTGTCGGAATTGCATACGGTCTGCAGATTTGGTTAATTCCAATTGCATCGCTAATTAAATCAACTAAATGCTCGATTTCCTAACATACAGTGTTAATTGCGAACGGTCGATCGATCGATTCATTTGCTGTTATTCAATTGCGTACTAAAAACGCAATAGGAAATAAACGTAACCGATGTTTCGTTCAATTTATTTTTTTTCGTGAAATTACGTTTTGTTTGAAAACTGTGATTCACGCCAACGTGAATTATTATTGTTTCCCATAATCCACTCGACTCTACTCTTTCTCTAACTAAGCTCATGTCCTATTTTTAGTACGGACATAATGGACTCCCAGAGAAACATGTAACCTCCTTTACGTGTTTCCTTTTATTTTTTTCGTCAGTCGTTGTATATGCCTCTCCTCTCTGTCCCTATTCTTCAGCTCGATTCGTTTTTCTTCGACTTTCGTCCGCCACATAAAACACCACACATTCATTACGTTTTTCGAGTTATTTTTGAAATTCCGCCGATCCTAATCTCCAACTTATTACTCATAATTTCTGTCCACTCCAAAAATAGATTACATTCAAACACACACACACACACACATTCGATCTTTGTTTACGCAGATTAGTATCTAATCTCTGTAGAGTCTACAGTGTAGATTCTACCTCCAATTTATTTATGATTATACTCAACGCTGCTCGAACTGCACCGAACGATTGCTTAAAACGACTTTTTTTGTTGTTGTTGTTGTGTGTTGGTTTCGCTAGTTGTGTAATCGCGATAAAATCTCGAGGGCATCGTTAACGTTTCTCACTGATCACATACATTTTCTCAATTCGTGTTAATTTTTGTCTCGACCATTGTTATGACTACATGAAAACTAACAATTATTACATATTTTTCAACAAAATTATTCCTAATTAAATGTGTTTGGTTTGAACTTTTCAATTGATGATTATGCATTATTAGTATTCAAAGATGATTACAGTTTTAATTATAATTTACACGTTCCCTTTCTGCTATAATTGACACGTTTCTAATTCAATATGTCTTCACTTGTTTGATTATCGTGAAAACATTAATTTTCTTATTTATGTTTTTGAAAATATTCGGTAAAATCTAAAGACGTAATTAATATTAATTTGTTATTGTATGCATTCAGTACTTATCTTGAAAGTTTTAACAGCGAATTTGTGTGTAGTAATGTGAGTTTTCGTGGAAAAACGATGTGTGTGTGTGTTACATAAGAAAAGTCGCCATTTTGGCTGTTGACCTCACGGGGTTAAAAATATCGCGAAATGGCGGCCGATTGCTTCCGAAGAAGTAGAGGGAGGAAGGGGGGAGAAAGAGCTGTGGTAGTAATTCCAGCGGCAAATGGGATAATTAAATGAAACCCCGCGTGCGTTGTGCGCCAGCAAAACTAGTCGAGCAGAAACACGCGAATCCGTAAAAGCGTGTTTTTAATCTGTTATTGGTTTCGGAGTCGAATCGATCCACAGATCCAGATTACTCACATACTTTCATGTGTATAAATAAATCCTAAATTTGATATCAAATCCGAGAACCTAGGTCATCTGCAAAGCCACCTCTATTATTATTTCTTCTTCAAAAGAGCGTTTTGCCGCAGGATCGATATTTTAATTGCAGAAATTGCATATCCTCCAAGAAATATTTGGCGAGCGATCCCGAGGAGGGGTCGCCTTTTAATATTTCTTTTATTCGACTTTGCCGATGTCCTAGATGCGACGCATCGTCATTCCGTTGCGGTTTTTGTTGTTGTTGAGGAAGTTTTTGGATTATTGAAGGGTGCGGCAAGAACGTAATGGGTTCGAGTTTGGCGCGAGGGCCGAGGAGTCCTGCAACGACTAGAGGTCGCGTATATATGTATAATTAGTGCGCTTTGCGCAATTCGCGTTGTACTTAATTGAATGCAGATGTTAGGGTGTCGATTGGAAACGGTTGTACTAATGAAGTGTTGTTTTTTTTTCTTGATTTGCAGCCGTTCCGTTCCCGCCGAGTTCCAAGTTAACTGTAGCCGAAGTATTCGATACGCGGACGCATAAGCCACGGCCGGATGTGCTAAAGCAACATTTTATCCTCGAGGGACGGATCGACGAGCAGGCCGCCCTCAAGATCATCAATGATGGGGCTGCACTTCTTCGCGCCGAGAAGACCATGATTGACATTGAAGCACCAGTTACAGGTAAATATATACACACACACACAAATTTCAACAAGTACTGTAACAAGTAAACTTTGCGATGCCGATGGTAAAGTTTGCAGCAAAATTCGGTTGCAATCGTACAAAGATACAGGAAGCACAATATTCATGATGAAACCACTAAGAAAGTTTACAAAACATTAATGAACGAAATCTGATTGAAGTTGAGAGTTCTAAAATGAAATACACATAAAGTTATATTCGATGTACAGTTTTGTTACGTTTTTAGTATATTGTTCCAAATATTTAAGTATTCCGTTTGTTTTTTAAATTGAAAAGTAAATTGTTAAATTGGCGAGTATTTGTTGGATTCACAAAACGCAGTAGGAAATAAACGTAAACGCAAATTAATTCGGATGTTTCGTTTAATTTGTTTTTTTTTTCGTGAAATTACGTTTTGTTTGAAAACTGTGATTCACGCCAACGTGAAAAAGTTATATTCGATGTACAGTTTTGTTACGTTTTTAGTATATTGTTTCAAATATTTAAGTATTCCGTTTTTTTTTTTTAAATTGAAAAGTAAATTGTTAAATTGGCGAGTATTTGATGGATTCACAAAACGCAATAGGAAATAAACGTAAACGCAAATTAATTCGGATGTTTCGTTTAATTTGTTTTTTTTTTCGTGAAATTACGTTTTGTTTGAAAACTGTGATTCACGCCAACGTGAAAAAGTTATATTCGATGTACAGTTTTGTTACGTTTTTAGTATATTGTTTCAAATATTTAAGTATTCCGTTTTTTTTTTAAATTGAAAAGTAAATTGTTAAATTGGCGAGTATTTGTTGGATTCACAGCAAAATTGTAATTCACTCTATCGATCGGAATTGGAAACGTTTCAGCTTCCTCTCCCTTCTTTATAATAAGATTGCAGTGACAACACAAACGCGAAAAGGAAGAAAAGAAAAAGATGGGACAGTCTTAAAATTGGAAGCAATTGTGCGGAAATGCCCATCCGAGGACAGTTCCGTTATATTGGATCTGCCTCTCTTTCCCCTGTGTATATATGTGAGAACGTGCGTGGCCGTATAAAATGAAATTGTCCTGCAACAATGCCACTTGCAGGAATTGCTTTCCTGCACTGTCCTGCGGTTTCGCCATGTGCGTTATAGCATGTACACGTTGTTGCGTCTCCACACCCAATGCGACAGCTGCAGACACGAGAGCGCGCACCTCTTTTTCTCGCAAATATCACGGGAATCGCCCGAATTACAACATTATCCTCAATCGAAGCTTTCCATTTAATTTTTTTTTAGTTTATTTCACGTCGCTTCGGGATGAAATCTTTAATTGGAGTTTAATCAAAAAACAGATATCGCATTTCATTCTAATTGGATCTCGATAAAATCAACATTGTGCAACTTTTTATACTACAATGTCGTCTTCTATTTTACCAATTTCCACTAAAGATATACTAAAAGATAGTAAAGTTTGCTCTAAAAATATATCTCGAAAAACAGTAAATCTTTGCAGTGAACATTCACGTTTTACGCAAATCAACACCTGAGGTTATGAAAGCAAAAACTTTAGCCATTTGCATCTATAATGAAATCTTCAGATATATAGAAAGATATTCAAATCTTAGGGCAATCGACTGGATGGAATTTCAAGATGCGATTATGGATGATGAAACGTTGGGTTTCGTCTCGGCGCGATTAAAATCTGGATGCTCTAATTTATGGAAATATAAATGGTCCGGAGATAAGATAAATATTATCTTCTCTATTAAAGTGCTGAAACTAGACCCCGGCGGGTTTCTTCAGCTACAATAAGAAAATTCAATTACTCGAAATTGCGAGTATTGCTTCTGGGAATTTTCCGCTCTATAATTTACATAGGATTTACACATTATTTTCATCTGCTACATTCAATTTATAAAGAAAGGTAGTATATCAACAATATTACTGTTGCTTTGGAAATACATCGAGTCAAGTTCTAATGTAAAACGGAGAATATCAATTGATGTTGGAACGACGACGTGAATGGCTTATTTTCTTTTTGAAGAGGATGCCCGAGAATCCTTTTCACTGTGGTCTCGAATCCATCAGTGAAAACATCTTAAGAGGAATTTATTGATGCAAATTCAATTGTACAGTTACATCAAAATCTCTAAGCTATTGCAGAGATTTCCAATTTTATACGTGCCTTAAAAAAAAAGATAATCTAATTTTATTTATACTCACCGAGAAACATCGAGTTTATATTGTAACTTCTATATGGCATACTTATTCAGCAGATAAGTATATATAGAATATAAAGCTTTCAAATTGAAGGATATGAAAGACGAGTATAAACAATGCTTGAAACGTATTATTCTAGGAAATAAAGCTGAAATATTGGAGGTCTCTTCTAGCAAGCACATATTTATTTTCGCATCAAACAGAAACCGACTTTGCTGAAAGACCGTCGTCGTCGTATGTGTCGGAGGAAATCCTTTATTTGCTTTCATCAATTTTCTATCCATATTCTTTTTGTGTCTCTCTGTGTGTGTGTGTTTCCACTGCAAATCTGATAAATTTTATTGTGGGTGAGACGCGCGAGGGCATAGCGAACGTTCGGTCGGCGCTGGCGTCGCGGCGCCCGGATCAATAGTTCAATTAGTTCACGGAAGGCCAATTCCATCTGGACATCTTTATTTATATGACATAAATAAGAGCTAGGGTGGATGTTAGCCCCACGGGGCCTCACATAAAGTGCTCTCACGTTGGGTTTTACGATGCTCCACAAACCTACCTCCCCTAAGGCCCTCATCCTACATCCACCCCCCCAATACATACTTGTCGCAAGATGCAACTTTCAGCGATAAATGAAAACGCTATTAGTGAATAAATGATGAAGATCCATCAACGATGTAGAAAGTGCCATAAGTTATTCATCGCGTTGTATTTGAAAATGTTGACCTAATATGTTATGTCTCTTCGCTAATGATTCTAATAGGATGGAAATTGATGGATGCAGTGTTAAATTTGAAGAATGAAGTTTAATTGCGAAGTTTACCTAATATGAATATTCATGAGTTCGAAACGTTCACCCTGAAGGAAAAAAGTTTGTCAACCTTTGCTGGGTTTTTGCCAGGATGGAAAGCAATTAAAGCCTGTGGACAAATAAGGGCGGAAGACACCAAATAGAAAAAAAAAATTGCATGAAGAAAGGAAACGAATGTAACAGCATAACAATTCCCTGAATTGATTACATTTTCTAAATTCCATATTATTATACTACAAATTACATCACTTCTGTTGTTTGATAACTCAACAGTTAAATGTTAATAATAACTTCGAAACAAAGCGACAATATAGATTTTTATTAACTTTTTGTTAGAATTTGATTTAATTTTGTCAATTAAATTGTCAAAATTGCAATTTTTTTGAAAAAGTTTGTCAAGCATTGCTGGGTTTTTGCCTGGATGGAAATAAAGCCTGTGGACAAATAAGGGCGGAAGACACCAAATAGAAAAAAAAATTGGATGAAGAAAGGAAAGCTCTATTATTGCGCGCCTCTGGATGTAACGTTCGAAGGAGACGTTCGTGCGCGACATTTACGACTCCACAGGTGACAGGTGACGTGATTAAGGGCGAGCCATGGGGCTAATGATCCGCGGATCGGAGCGATTTACATTAAGGCTCGTCACAGATCATTATTATGGAAAATGGAAGAAGAAAGAATGAAGTGAAGGGAAAAAAGAAACTGGCGGAGAGAAAAGAGAGGGCCTTGGCTTAACGATCATCATTTTTTTTTGTTGCCTTAATCAAGGTCTCCTTCGATCAGTTCTACCCCGTATATATGTGTATATATATATATTTCGCCTCGACGAAATGGCGATGAAAGAGCGCCCCCGCCCGTTCGGGATAATCAAAGTAATTAAGCGGCTTTATCCTTTATTATAAAATGTCCAGTTAATTGACGAGAAAGAGAGAGAGAGTGGATCAATGATCCGAGCATCGGCGCGAACGGTCGATTTCTTAATTGAAAGCGCCAACGATTAACATCATCAGACGCAGCTTTAAAGATCACGGAATTAGAGTAAACTGAACTTCATTAAAATACGCAAATGCCATCGTAATCTAATATTTTTAAATGGACAATCAATCAATGAAAAGTTTAATATTATCTCATCTGTGAAAATTGTATTTCTTATAACAAATGTTCGAGCAACAATTTTGATTCACAACACTCCATCATATTAAAAGAAAATCGAATACTAGAATCAATCAATCAGGATTTGGGAGAATAAGTATGGACTTCGGAAATATGTTTCACAAGCAAGGATTACTTCACAAAATGACGATCAATCTTTCACGTTTCTTTTTATTATTAAATTACAGAAACACAAAGTGAAGTGTATATAAACAATATTTATTATATATTTGAAAATGAGGAAGAAATATGTTTAAACGCATCTGCAACTATCCGCAAAATTAAACAGGACAAAAACAGGAATGAGCAGGGTGTAATAAAACTGCAACCAATTTGGTAAATGAACACTTCTCTTTATGTTATTCCTCCCTTTTTTCTCCTATTTTTACTACGTTCCGAACTATTAACGTTGCTGTATTTATTATATATGTAGTGGTGGAAGAGTGAGAGGGTAGTTTGCGGCTTTAATTTACTTAATGTATGCATACAACCGAAATAAACGCGCCGCGAGGCTCATGTACTGTGGCAATTAAAGGGGGGCGCGCTCTTCTCCCTCTTCGCTTCCCTATCACCATCCGTCTCCCCCATAACTTAAACACGCCCTTAATTTAATCAAGATCCCGGCGCCACCGGAAGCTAAAACACGCGGAAAAAGAAGAAGAAGCGGACAATCGACACGAACAATTCGATTTTGAAGAGAGGCCGGGGGGAGGTGGTGGTGTTAATGGAAATGATCGGTAATTCAATTTCTTTTCTCGTTAACGAATTAAAAGAATTAATGAAGTACACGAGATATAGCTTCAAATAAAAGCCAAAATTATTAAGTAAATTAATTAAGTAATTAG